TCCTCCTAATCGTCGGCGTCCTCCTGGTCATCGGCATCCTTCTGATCGGCGTCCTCCTGATCGTCGGCGTCCTCCTAATCGTCGGCGTCCTCCTGATCGTCGGCGTCCTCCTGATCGTCGGCATCCTTCTGATCGGCGTCCTCCTCATCGTCAGCATCCTCCCCCGGTCCGCGCGGTTGTCCACGGAGGCGTGGTCCACCTGCCCCCGCCGCACAGCCTGCTCTCGTTGTGTGGCCGTGGAGGCGGTGGCCGCGGCGGCCGGCCCCCGCACCTCCGCGCCATCGCCGTAGTGCCGCTGACGCCGGCCGGCCGGTCGGTATGGAGATTTTCGTCTTGTCGATGCATTCCCTCCCCCCCCCCCTCCCCGGCCGGTGCGCGGTGGTGCTCCAGTTGTGCTGAGCACGCCTGAAATAAAGCTATGCGCGCACGTTGCATAATGTGGAAAGGGGGGGGGGTAGGGGCCACACCTCCGCGAAGAAGTCAATGCCTTCGCGTCAGCCGAGCACGCACATGGTTCGTCAGCGAAACCGATTCATCTACTTCTTCCCGTGATTTAATTTTGTTTTTTGCACAATTTTTTATTTTTGCAGAGCCGTACGCGACCGAGTGCTGCTCGCCGGACGGCTCCGTGGCCCTGCCGCCCGAGCGCGCCCCGGGCGTCTGCTACCCCATCCTCATCCCCAGGAACGACCCCGTGTTCGCGCCGCACCGCCAGGGCTGCATGAACTTCGTGCGCTCCACGACGGACGCAATGCAGGGCTGCGGCTCCGGCTACGAGCCCGCCGAGCAGGTCCGGCAAAACTCTATACACTCCGAAAAAAACCAGATATTTTTCAAAAACAAACAAACAAAATTTTGAAAACCACTACAAAAAAGATGTCTAACTAGATTTTTTTAAAAAAAATTAGCGTGTCTATTTTGTTGAGCTCTCTTACTGACTAAAACACTATTTTGGCTGGCAGCTGTCTACCGTGACCTCGTACCTGGACCTGTCGCTGGTGTACGGCTCCAGCCAGGCGCTGTCCGACATGCTGCGCGAGTTCCGCGGCGGCCGCATGGTCGTCGAGGTGCGCCGCGGCCGCGAGTACCCGCCCGCCAACCCCAACCGCACCGAGGTCTGCGACGGCGAGGGCCCCGGCGAGGCCTGCTACCTGGCCGGTGAGTGGTGCAAGCGTGCTCAGCAGGCATCAGGGAAACGAAAAATAAATTACCACCACTCACGCGAGTGTCCGATCCGCAGGCGACGTCCGCGTCAACCAGAACCCGCAGCTGACGCTGCTGCAGGTGATGCTCCTCCGTGAGCACAACCGCGTCGCCGGCATCCTGGCGCACCTCAACCCGCACTGGGACGACGAGACGCTCTTCCAGGAGGCGCGCCGCATCTGCATCGCCCAGTACCAGTTCATCTCGTACCACGAGTGGCTGCCGCTGTTCCTCGGCGGCGACAACCTGCGCCGCCACGGCATCCTGTACAAGGCGCAGGGCCACATCAACGACTACCGCGAGGAGGTCGAGCCCAGCGTGCTGCAGGGCCACGCCACCGCCGCCTTCAGATACTTCCACTCGCTCATCGCCGGCCAGCTCGAGTAGGTCCACGGCATGGACACAGCAAAATTATTAGCAGATGACATTTTTGTTTAAATCCTTTCTATCTTCTTGTTGAGAAAATAGTTTTTTTGGAAGAGTGTAACACTTTTTCTTGCGCGTCTCGTCTCTACAGCCTAGTGCAGGAACACCGCAACTCGTACGGCGCGCTGAGGTTCAGCGACACGCTCAACCGGCCCGCCGTCCTGGAGCAGGGCGACGGCCTCGACGACCTGGGCCGCGGGCTGACGACGCAGCCGGAGCAGGCCTCGGACCAGTGGTTCACCAGCGAGATCACCGACTTCCTGTTCCGCTCCGGCCGGCCCTTCGGCCTCGACCTGCGCGCCATCGACGTGCAGCGCGGCCGCGACCACGGCCTCGCCTCCTACAACGACTACAGGCAGTTCTGCGGCCTCAAGCGGGCGCACTCGTTCCACGACTTCCAGGACCAGATCAGCCCCGAGGTAAAAGATAAAAGGCTAAAAAAAACCATCAAATCTTCATAGATGATAACTATTTTTTCTAAACAACTTGCTCTTGCAGAACATCGAGAAGCTGGCCTCGCTGTACCCGCACCCCGACGACGTCGACTTCACGGTGGGAGGCTCGCTGGAGCGCCACGTCCCGGGCACCGAGGCCGGGCCCACCTTCAACTGCCTGCTCATGGAGCAGTTCTACCGCACCAGGGTCGGCGACAGGTACTTCTTCGAGAGCGGAAACAGCCCGTACCCCTTCACGCCAGGTGGGTGATCGCTCAACCTCTCATCGAGCAGAGTCAGTGACCTAATCAGGACACATTTTGGAATGGAGCTTGGTGCTGCTTTATGTGCCCGGTTTGGTTTACGATCTAATCACGTGCGTATGGTCCTCTCCCCTGCGTCTCGCAGAGCAACTGGACGAGATCCGAAAGTACAGCCTGGCCCGCCTCATCTGCGAGAACTCGGACAACATCCAGGCCATGCAGCCGCAGGCGCTCAACTTCCCCGCCCACGAGTGAGTATCCCTCGGCCGCGTCAGACCCCGTGCGGGTGGGCAACCTCTCTCGCGCGTCTAGGCTAGGCTAGGAGCGGCGGGTCGCCTAGGCGCGTGCCAGGTGGGCCACCCCTCGCGCGCGCCTAGGCTAGATGTGGACGTCGCCTAGGCGCCTGCCAGGTGAGCAACCCATCGCGCGCGCCTAGAACGACACCACTGGCGGCGCCGTGGGGGTAGACAGCCAATCGGGCGCGGCGGATTCAAACGGCAGCCTCAGCGACTCCGCCGCGCCTACTTTGGTCGTTATTCACACCTCGAAGGTGTTTTTTTTTTATCCTACATTTTTTATGCCTCCAGCAATTTTGTGATTCCCCACACCGTGCGTTTTTCTTTTGAATATTTTCGCAGCAATCCTCTGACGCCCTGCGACCAGCTGCCGTCACCCGACTACCGGGCGTGGCAGGAGGCGGGCCCGGCGCCGCACTACTCGTCGTACTTGGGCAGAAAGTGAGCGCCGAGTCGAGTGTCACCTCTCGCACCCAGCGGGGAAATAAATCAGGGGGAAATGAAATGAATGCGCGTGTCTTTAGTGCGGGAGGTGAGTTAGGAAAGGGGGTGTTTTTCGTCATGTTCGATGCCATTATTTTACTCCTTGCTGTTGGTGAAATTAAAAGTTGGACTGTTGCGGCAGATGGGCTTTACCCAACTGTGTGCGCCTTGTTGCAAAACTTTGTCAATTCGAGTTGAAAAAATGCGAAAATGGGTATTTATTTCTTGCTGTAGGATTTGATTTCCGTTGCACTGAGCGAATGTTACAAAACAAGACAAAGTTGAACGCAGGGCGTTGTAAATAATGTAATGTAAATTATATGAAAGCCATTTTTATGTTAAATATTCTTGATTAGACGTTTAAGACATTTTTTACCATTTCATCCATCATCAAATCAATACCTCTTCATTATACGACGAACTTCAAAAGATTTGCCTTTCTTTATCTTACAATCTGGATACTATTCATTGTAAGACCAGGGCGGTAAGTCTCTTGAAGTTCCAACGTGATTTTGGTGGATTATCGAGTTACCAGAGTGCGCTTATCACCTCTCTCTCCGTCGTGTATGTATATTTGAACTTCATTTATATCGCCAGTTTAAGACAAATTTTTACTCAAATTTCACGATCTAACTATAACTATTTCTCTATGTCTATATCGAGTGTAGCTATGGTGCACCTAAAAATCTCCCCATTGAACCATATGCGTCTTGACTCTGTAAATCTTGCGTTTCGGCGCAAGGTGTATACTGTATATTTTTGTCGTAAATAAATCATATTTTATTACGTATTGCTGTGTGGGTGCGTGGCTGTCTCCTACCTACCAATAATCATCGCTATAAAGCTCCCGCGTGTATCATCGATTGGCCCTAATCGTTTTGCAAGGAAGTCTCTCGCGCACTAAACACAAGCCAAAACAAGCCAGACAGATAAACAAATTAAAGGAGAGAAATAAAAAGTGACGTGTACGAATGTAACTCACATGGGATACGTGGCGCTCACGTGGCTCAAAACGTCTCCCCGGAGCTCCCTCGTTTGATCCCACGACGCCCGGAGAAAGAAAACATCCTCCGCGCGGCGCTAATCCCCTCCGCGTCACGTGCGCGCCGAGGAGGAGAGGTCAGGCGGTGACGACTTGACCCGGCCGTCCCAAATCTGAGGCGCGAGCCCCCCCC